GGAGGTTTCATTAATAGACGCGGGATACATTGGAGGAATAGCAGGAGAAGCATGGCTAACATGGTTGATGGAGCCAGGAAAGGGAAATGGGGTAAAGCCAGGAGGTCCGGTGGGGGCCTGCGCAGGAGTAGCAAGAGCAGAGAGGCCAGAGCTCCAGGCGGAGGGAGGGGAGGGCTGCTGCTGAGACTGTTGGTGCTGCTGAGACTGTTGTAGCTGCAGGAGGAGCTGTTGCGGCTGTTGCTGGGACTACTGCGGCTGCTGGGTCTGCTGCAAATGCTGATTCTGCTGCGGCTGTGGGGACGGAAGGAGGGGCGTGACCTGCTGGAGGATGTGTGGAGGGAGGTGCTGTGCGAGGATGTGGTGAAGAGAGATAGAGGAGGGCTGATAGGCGGGGAGGGTACGAACATCAAAGGGAGTGGGAGGTGGAGTGATAGTGGACCAACGAGGGGGCGTGCCCGTATTGCCTCGATCAAGCCACTCATCAGTGAGGGCCTTGAAGCATGTGGTTGTGGCATGGGTGGTTTGGAGGCAGCGCTTACCCTTGTTGGGGCCGTTGCGGATGAGATACTGACATGGGGGGAAGCCGCCGGTACTGCTGGAACCACTGCTACCCCCGCGTCCTCCACTGCGCCCCCCGCCACGTCCACCACCCGATCGTCCGGCCGAAGTATCACCACGGCCAGCACCACGTCCTCCTTTTGCTTGGGCAGCATGAGCCGTCGGAGGAGACTGGCGGAGAAGCTCCGCTTCAGTTTTCAGAATCCATGCGGCTACATAGGCGGAGTCGGGTGGGAAGCTGGCGTGGACCTCATTGAACGCCACGCGACGGGCATCGTACATGGGTGTGAGGCCGTTGAGGAGGCGGCAAACGATGAGGGAGTCGGGAAGGGGAGAGCGACGATCGGCAAGGCGTTTGGCAGTCGTGAGGAGGCGGCGCGTGAAGGAGAGGGTGTTGGGGCAGGAGTTGAGGTTGATGTCGAGGAAGGCGCGGTGGAGCACTAGGAGAGAGTTGGTGTCCTGGAGGTCATAGGTGGCACATAGCTCTTTCCAGAACTCGGGAGCGGAGGAGGGGGTGATTTCGCGTTTGAGGGAGGAAGGAACGCATGCAGCGAGACATTTGCGGTTGGCAACGTTCCAGGCAGAGTGGCGACGACGGTACTCACAAAAGTCGTCAGCATACTTAGCCGTGGCGTCCTTGTGCTGCTGGAGAAGTGTGTTGGCAGCGTCGTGCGCAGCTTGCTCTGCGTCATACGCGTGCTGGAGGAGAGTGTACTCCGCGAAGTCCTTGTCATATTGGTGCTGCACGCGAGCCCAGCGATCAGGGTCGTCGGTGTAGACCAGCGGGGAGGGCTTGGTGGGGGCCGGAGGTGGGGCGGGAGGTGCAGGGGAGACATCAGCAGGATGCTCTGGGGGCTGCCCTACGTCAGAGCCAAGGAGAATGTCGAGGAGGCAGTAGTCATTGATGATTGCGGTGCCGCGTCGAAATGCGGCCGAGCACCGCGTCGAAATGCGGCAGGAGCGCCGCGTCGAAATGCGGCCGAGCGCCGCGTCAAAATGCGGCAGGAGTGCCACGTCGGAATGCGGCCGAGCGCCGTGTTGAAATGCGGCAGGGGCGCCGCGCGAAAACGCAGCGACTAAGGGCGCGTGGAGAGGCGCTTAAGGGCGTGGGAAGGGGCGCATAAGAGCGCGGGGAGGGGCGCTTAAGGGCGCAGGGAGGGGCGCTTAAAGGCGCGGAGAGGGGCGCTTAAGGGCGCGGGGAGAGGCGCGTTGGGCGCGAGGTGGCTAGGGATCGAACGAAGAGGCGTGAGCCATAAGCTATGAAACCATGTGAGAAACTGAAATGATGATTGTATTAGGAAAGGAATGGGTATACTTAGGTGAGGAGTAATAGGGGGGGGGGTTTGGTTGGGAGGTGACCACGATTGTTGGTGACCCCAATAATTTGAGTTGGCCAACTTATTGGAGGTCCAATAATCCTAGCCAACATTATTGGTGGGTCCAATAATCTTGGTTGAAATAATTGGGGGTTCAATAATTGGGAGCCCAACCAATTTGGGAACCCAACAAGGTTGGGAGCCCAACCCCCAACTTGGGTGAATACACCCTAGTGGGGTGCTTATAAAGTACTTAAGACAATGAAGCGATGTAGGCTAATAGAATGAAGGGAGAATATTCTAACACCCCCGTCCCCTTCCCCCCCTCCCACTCTGATCTCTGCATTCTTCGGCCCTTGACCCCGCTCGAGAATGCCCTTCTCTGCTTCTGAAATGCTATCTGCAAGCAGTGCAGCTGTTGCCATAGCAGGGGCGGGAGGAACGCCAGGTATCGTGATTGCAGCAGGGGAGGGGGACAGCTGCTGAGCCGAGTAAAAAAGGGAGACACACAGACGCGGGGCGGGGTGGAGAAGCGAGGCATGGAGAAGGGGAGTGGTGTGTGCAGGTTCAGGGGTATATGGAGGTTTGGCGGTGGGAGGGGAGGGGAGGCAGCAGGGGAAAGAGACGTGATGACAGGGGGAGGAAGGGAAAAGTGGTTGAGAGACGGGAAATACGGATGACAAAACTGGCGAGGGCATGGGAGCGAAGGTGACATGGCATGGCAAAGGGTAGAGGATAAAGGAAAGGCTTGACAGGGAAGAGTGAGAAGGGAGGGAGGATGGAGGAAAGGATGGGAGAGAAGAGAGAGGTAGAGCAAAAGTCTTTGCATCGACGACAAGGGGACATGGCATAGGAGAGAATGGGGGGACAACAGAGAGGGGGGGGGGGGCAGGAGAGAGCAGGAGGACAGCAGCAGGGGGACAGCAGAGATCAGGGAGACAGCAGGGGGACAGCAGAGAGCAGGGGGACAGCAGGGGGGCAGCAGAGAGCAGGGGGACAGCAGAGAGCAGGGGGAAACGAGAGAGCAGGGGGACAGCAGAGAGCAGGGGGGCAGGAGACTGCAGGGGGGCAGCTGAGGGGCAGCAGAGAGCAGAGGGGCAGCAGAGAGCATGGGGGCCATGCGTTCCCCTCTCCTCGCCATGTGTTCCCCTCTCCTCGCCATCCGTTCCCCTCTCCTTACTATCTGTTCCCCCTCTCCTCGCTATCCGCGCCCTCCTCTCCTCGCTATCCGCACCCTCCTCGTAGGAGTGTTTGGTGCGGGGGGGCGTTTTGGCTTAGGCAACGAGTAGTCAGGCCTAGGCTAGATGTCGCATTTCGTCACGGCGTCTAATGGCTTGTCTTGCCGTAGCTTCGCTTCGCAAACTACAGCGGGCACTGTGTCACATTCGCCAATCCCAGGTCGTTCCTCTGCGGGGACGGTATTACGCCCGAGGTCGCCTCTTCAAAAAGGGATAAAACCTTTTCCCCGTAGTGGGGGGAGTTGTACGTCGATGCGCGGACGGATTTTTTTTATGACCTGTGTAGTGGTAGCTAAGGCTTCCTACGCTTGATTCACTACGAGGTAATCTACTTGTGGAAACGTGATGCACACCCATGGAGCTCTTGAACGACGAGTTCTTGGGTTGTGGTCACACTCGACCAATTTGGTTGAGTTGTGCGACTTTTGTATTTGTCGCACCGTGTTCCGCCAAGGTCGTCTACTCGCAAAGTGTGTCGTGGTCCTCTCAAACTGTCGCAAAACGCTTCTTTTCATTTCGTTTGGTACAAGATGCTCCAGTATGGGTCGTTTATTCTGACCCCCAAAAAACAAATTTCTCAATCGCGCCCAAGGTGTGCTTCTTTAGACTGTATTACTATATGAACCATGTATCCTCTTGCTATAATCAACACTGTTATGTTACATTCACTTTGACATGGTTCATCGACCAATCAACCGCTTCCGTAAAGCGCCCTACTACAGTTCAATCCTGAACATCTTACGGACCATATTGGATTGCTTCAGTAAAGAGAGGGTTGTGAGTGAGAGGCTTGGTTTGGATCAAGCTTCGGAATAGCAGGTACTGTTTCCACTTCCTCCCTTCCCTTCCATCCATGCCCCCCTCCCCCCTTCCCTCTCCCCTCCCCCTCCCAAATTGCAGCTCTCTTGCCAACTCAACCTTCCAGACATATCATCAGGGTGCAATTCTCTGTACGCTGCAATCCTTCGCTGCTGCTGGCAGTGCCGTGAGGCAACTGCTATTGCTGCGAACCCTGCTGCCTCCTCCTTTTTCTCTTTTTCTTTTTTGGTTGCCTATCATGCACTGGAGAGGTGAATGACGAATGCTGTAAAACAACAATTGATAGCCTATACGTTTAGTTTGATGCGTAAGAATTGCACAATTGCAAATGTGCACTCACGTTCAATCAGTAGAATTGTACATACAATTGAATCTGGTACAGACCGAGCGCGGTGAGGTTTGCAGACTTCCAGCTGCAAACGCGGATTAGGCTCTGTACTAATGGATGTTTCGATACTGTACTTTCACACGCGGAACCTAGTTGTCGGTCGCGATTTCATTCGCTGAACGTCTCACCGACTTGGTTCTCCCTTCGCTGTCCAATCACGTTTTTCCGCAAGCGTATCTTATCACCACGTATGCCACGTCACCCGCTCAAACAACTGCCCCTCACTGTCCACGTCAGGAGTTGACACGTCTTTGGTGCCAGCCAGGGGAAGGTTTTCTTGTGGCATGGCAGCGAGCTGGGCTGGTCGGAGCTGGTGCAGACGAGTTACACACAATTCACGAAAAATCAGCGGGCTTCGTCCGAAATGCTGGCGCCCGTGGCGAGATTTGTCGCTGGTGTGGGGACCATTCCGGCGAAGCGATTTCGCGTAGCGCGTGCCGCATGCAGCCTGTTTGTGACGATCACACGACACGAGGCCAGAACACCACACACGACACGACAGGGCACGGCATTTGAGTTGCGTTGCGCGCTTCGCTACGGCATGGGGCAGGTTCTTCTGGGCGTTGTCGGCACACGCGCATGCTCAAGGCGCATGTAATAATAAAAACTGAAGGTATCTAGCTTGGTCTGGCGTGAAGCTACATAGTAAACTCAGTGCTTTAGAGACTTGGGAACTCGTTTTCAACGTGCACATGATTTTCTGCTCTCTCAACATTGCATAATTGCCCCCATTATCCTGCCGACCCGTCTAATTCCTTCTCAAAACCATGGCCTTCGCGCCTCGAAAGAATGCACTTTTCACACGGCTCATCGCGGCGGTGCTGCTGCTAGCAGCAATGGTACCGTCGGCTCAGGTAGCCGTCGCCACAGCGGCCGCGTCTGCAAGCGCGCCGATGAACGCCACGACTCAGTACCGCACGAGCGCCGCTGCTCTGGCGTGCAGCCGGTCCCCCGTCGCTGGCTTCGCGAAGAAGGTCACGCTCAAACCGGGGTACGTGCTGGGAATAATTGGACAGTTATAATGGGAATAATACTTATAATGGGACTTGGGTTCTGAGACGCGGGAACACGTTCCGCGCGGCAATCATCGCGCAGGCCAGCAGCGGCGCGCAGCATCATCCCGCCCCCCACCCCCCCCTCCCCCCCTCCCCCCCTCCCCCCCTCCCCCCCCCCCCCTGTCACGCCATACCCAACCATGTTTCCCCGTGACATTTTCCCGCCTGACATTTTTCCCCCTGACATTTTTCCCCCCGTGACATGTTTCCGCGTGACATTTTTCCCCGTGACAGACTCGTCTTCCACTGGAAGGTGGTGCGCGGGAACATGCTCCGCGGGGCAATCATCGCGCAGGCGACCAGCGGCGCGAAGAACGGGTGGATCTCGATCGCGTGGACCAAGAGACCGGGGAAAATGTACCCCGCGGACGCCGTCGTGGGGAACCTCCCCGCGCCGACCGCCGTTAAGGCGTACGCGATGACCGGCGAGAGCTCGTCGACCGTCAAGCCGTCGTCCGCTTTTACTGTAACTGCGACGACTGTAGCGAGGAAATCTCGATCCACTGTTATCCGGTAAGTTACTGCCTAGGGGTTTTGGTTTACGACGACTCAAAAGACAGACTGAGCGGTTGTAGCTCGTCGGCTGTAGCTCGTCGGCTGAAGCGCCGTCATGCGGTAACAGCGATATAGCGAGGAAATCTAGGACTACAGTCATCAGACGACCTGGAGTTGGCTCTGTTCTGCTGTCTTCCTTCGGCCCCGTAGAAAAATCCCTGCACCCGAAACCCAAAACCCTGTCCGTCTAAACCCTGAACGTCCAAACCCTGAACCCGAACTTAGGCTTAAAGCCCTGTTGAGTGTCGCGACCTTAAACTTATTGCATGTAACCAACCCATTCATGGGTGACGACGAGAGAGTGGTGGAGCGAGCGTGTCCTGAGAAGCCGAAGGCGTGAACGGGAGAGACTAACCGTGTGAGAGTAATCGAACGTAACGGTGTGGAGGGGAGGGAGGGGAGGGACTAACCGTGAGAGTAATGCGCCTGTAACTTCCCTCCCATCCCTCAGGTTCACGCGCAGCGGCTCGTCTGGTCTGTCGCCGACCAACTACGCTGGCAGCAACAGCATCATCGTCTGGGCTTACTCCTGCTCCCCTCATCGTCTTCCACCCCGCAGCTATGGTCCAAACCTTGTGTGTGTGCCTCATCTGTCACTTCCTCCCATAATCTCGCCTCTCAGGTTCACGCGCAGTGGCTCGTCCGGCCTGTCGCCGATCAACTACGCAGGCAGCAACAACATCGTCTGGGCTTACTCGGCCGCCTCCTCTCAGACCTTCGGCTACCATGGGGCAAACTGGTACGAATTCGCTGAATCCCCTGACATAACGAATTCGCTGAATCCCCTGACACTAGTACGAATTCGCTGAATCCCCTGACAGAACTCCCCCATCTGCTTGACTTGGCCTACTCCTTCGCAGAAACGCTGATTTAATTTCTGAGTAGTAGTCACGTCCATGTGTTAAATCTACTCCCAGAAACGCTAAGAGCAATCTGCTTGGGTTTCGAAAAACCCGGCCCTAACCATCTCACTTCCTACTGAAACCCGAAACCCCTGATTGCTTCCTCGGTAATGCTTTGCAGGGGATCGGCGACTATCAATTTGGCTTGCTGAGGGGCTCGCTTGATATGCTGATTGGCATCCCCGTTTGGAGGCGATCTCCTTGGAGGCGCCACTGTTTGCAATTGCGTGGTTTCAACCATGTGCTATATTTCTTACGGGATAGTGGAATACTTGGGTCAAGTTGGGCTAACATGCTACCTAACCTAAGTATGTTGCTTACATATCCATTAACGTTGCTATAATTTCTCTATATCTTCTTGGGCGTAGACAATCAATTCAAGCAATCAAATCAAATACAGCATTGCTTGCAAGGCACAATGCAGACTGGAAGGAAAATCAGTTACATACAATACAAATATACAAGCCTAGAGAGTCGGTCAGTTCAAGAAAGCAATGGCAAAAATATGTTATTCCCCCTCTGGATCCTACCCTCCCCGTGCTCTTGCTCACCCCTCACCTATTCCTGTACACAACGCCGCTCGCTACATTCAACGGGCCTGACTTGACGACTCTGCAACCCCCCAAATTAATACACCAAGTCACATCACTCGCGTACGCCTTGGGGCTTCTCAAGACTGCCTCGCATACCTCCCTCTTCTGCTGCTGTAGGTGGATCGGAATATCGCCATAGACGCCTCTCTCGGTTTCCTATACAAGTGGCGTAACAGCTGTAGCACTGTACAAGTCCCCGATACCTACAATGGCACCTCGCTTGGGTACGCTTGGGGGTTCCTCAAGGCTGCGTTGCGCACCTCCTCTCCTGCTGCTGCAAGTGGGCTGGAATATCGTCGTACACGTCACTCACTAGGTCCGACAGAGGCGAGGCGACATAATGACACTACAGTACAAAAACCCCAGTATGTCTATAGTGGTACATCACTGGGATACGCCTGTGGATTCCTTAAGACAGCCTCCCGCACCTCCTTCTCCTGCTGCTGCAAGTGGGCTGGAATGTCATCGTACACGTCACTCACTAGGTCCGACAGAGGCGGCTTGGGAAGCTTCTCAGCATCTTCCAGCGCAGCAATCACCTGAAGGGGCCAAAGAGACGCGGGCCAGAAGAAAATGATATGTGAAACAAGAGAAGAAGGATGTGAAACAAGAGCCAAGAACGCTCGGGAAAAGAAGGATGAAATACAAGAGCCAACGGGTCGCAGTGAGTGCACCCCTGTGCCATACGTCCTCAGCTATATGCATCCATAGGTATTTCACAGTACTGCTTTTGAGTCGACTCAAAAGCATATACATCCATAGGTATTCATAGCACTTGAAAGGCTCCAGGAGAACAAAACCAAAGCCTCACCTCTTCTCTTGCCATTTCTCTTGCTGCCTTCTCCCTCTCCTCGTCCCACCACCCCTTCCTCTCCAGCTACCTCCTGAACTGGGCTACTGGGTCCCTCTGAGTGCGCCAGTGTGCCATCTCACTCGCACCACCCATAATATATATGCATACACTCCTAAACGAAATCCACCCTCACCACTTCCCTGGCAGTCTTCCTCGTTGCCTTCTCCCGCTCCTCGTCCCACCACCCCTTCCTCTCCAGCAACCTCCTGAACCGGGCTACTGGGCCCCTCTGAGTGCGCCAGTGCGCCATCTCACTCGCACCCCCATACATCAACTTCTATGCATACATCAACTTCTATGCATACATCAACTTCTATGCATACATTGACATATCTGTACCTAAAACAGTGCGCACTCACCTCGTTCCTTGCCGCCTCCCTCGCCTCCTTCTCCCTCTCCTCGTCCCACCACCCCTTCCTCTCCAGCCACCTCCTGAACCGGGCTACTGGGTCCCTCTGAGTGCGCCAGTGCGCCATCTCACTCGCCCCGCGGTACCGAGAGGAGTCGTCTGACGTGCTGTGATGGCCCGTGCGGTACGTCATGGCCTGGAAAGGACAAGTGGGGGGGGGGGGGGGGGTGGGTAGAGGGGTTGACGGTGGAACAGGTCTGGGAAGAAAGAAAGGAGTCGTCAGATGTGCTGTGATGGCCTGTGCGGCATGTCATCGCCCAAGGGGAACAAAGGACGGCGGTTGAAGCATACCTCTGAGGCGCCTCAAAAATAGACTCCTCACGCATGGAAGGGGGTGAATCATACGAGAGAAAAAGGTCAAGGCTGGATGAGACAAGGGTCTCTCGGAGTGCGCCAGAGCGCCATCTCACTGGCACCTCGGAAGCGAGATCAATCATCTGATCTGCTGTGATGGCCCGTGCGGCATGTCATGGCGTGGGGGAAAATACGAGAGATCAGAGAAAGGATTCCCTGAAAATGGCGAATGCGCCAGTGTACTCGCCCCTCGGTACCAAGAGGAGTCGTCTGACGTGCTGTGATGGCCCGTGAGGTACGTCATGGCCTGGAAAGGGTAGGCGGGAGGATGGAGGGTGACTGTTGAGTCGACTCAAAAGTCACCTCGTTACAATGTCACACAACTCTGAGGTACGTCATGGCGTGGAAAGGATAAAAGGCGGAAGGATGGAGGGTGAATGGAAGGGTAGAAGGAAGGTAGAGAGTGGAAGGCTCTCTGTGTGCACCAGTGCGCCATATCACTCGCCCCTTGATAGCGAGAGGAGTTTTCTGACGTGCTGTGGTGGCCCATGCGGTACGTCATCGCCTGGAGGCAAACTACGAGAGAGAAGGTAACAAATGGACAGGAAGGCAGCCTCCTTGTAAGGGTCCCTCCGTGGGCGCCTTTTGAGTCGGATCAAGAACCAAACATTTAGAGAAGGTAACGAATGGATAAGAAGATGATCTTCTTGTTAAGGGTCCCTCCGTGTGTGCCAGTGCGCCATCCCACCCGCCCCTCGGTATGCCGTGACATGCTGTGATGGCCCATGTAGTATGTCATGGCCCATGTAGTGTGCCATGGCTTGAGGGGAGCAGTGGTAGACGTGATGGTATTTGGGACCACAAAAGACGCAATAAAGGGGAGTCATTTCCAGGTTGTGAGGATAGCAGAATGTTTAACCATGCTCAAGTAGTCAGTGGGAGCAGGAGCATACCCAAAATAAATTCGCTGAGGTTATGATTGTCCGCCTGAAAACATCGGCCTATTAGCTCAGCTGGTTAGAGCGTCGTGCTAATAACGCGAAGGTCACAGGTTCGAGACCTGTATGGGCCAGTTCTTGGGCACGTTTCTGGAACGGATTTGTTGTGATCATATGCAGTAGTATCACTGCGTTTTTCAGCACTTTTTCCAGCCCAAGTATGCTGCGCTAAAATTGTTGTTAGTGGTTACGGGGGTTGTGGTCACTGTCAAAGGCTACATGTGCTGCCTGGGAGTGGTTGTGGAGGATGTTGTGCTTTCTGTGTGTCTAGCCTTTATGAGATGCTACATGTATGATGGTGACAATTTGCCACCAGCATCTGCACCATGATTTCATCTGAAGAGAAAAGCCTGAACTAGGTCTGTAACTTCACCACAATTCACCACAATTCACCGCACTTCCCCACAATTCACCGCACTTCACCACAATTCACCGCACTTCACCACAATTCACCGCACTTCACCGCACTTCACCACAATTCACCGCACTTCACCGCACTTCACCACAATTCACTGCACTTCACCATGTCTCACCTTGACAATAATGACTCAACCACTCTCTCCCTCGCCTCTTTCACCACCCTCAGCATATCACTCTCGTTTGCCCCTCAATAACTTCACTTCACCACAGTTCACCGAAAGTCACCGCATCTCACCGCATTGCACCGCATCTCGCCCCTGAGAGGATGGGCTTCTCTGTCTCCATGACTTCTCCCTCACCTCCTTCACCGCCCGCAGCGGCGCCAGTACGTTTGCTGCTCGTGCATTTTACCACAACTCACTGCATTCAACCACTTCTCACCACACTGCACTTCACGACGTCTCACCTCTACAAGGAACACTTACAGCACGAGAGGAGACAACGTGAGGAGTATTCTGGGCATTCTTAAAAAACACTCACAGCACAAGACGACGTTGGGAGTATTTCGGGCAGTCTCCAAAAACACTCACAGCACTAGACAAGACAACGGGAGGAGAGTGCGGACGTAGACAAATCTCCTTCATCAGCGTGAGCGAGCAGGAGCATCCCCAATCCGGGCTCGGGGAATGAGTTGTGCATGAAGGCTTCGCTTATGCATCGACTCAAAAGCAGCTCCTTCAGCAGTGCGAGCAGGACATCCCAATAAGTGCCCTGGAATGAAGCGTACATGAAAGCTGCGCGCTCGGGCTAGCAGTCTAAAACAAACTAGAAATAATTTTCCAATTTAACGGCCTATTAGCTCAGCTGGTTAGAGCGTCGTGCTAATAACGCGAAGGTCACAGGTTCGAGACCTGTATGGGCCAGTTTTTTCCCGTGCCAGAATGCTTCAAATGCATGCACATTTTTTTCCTCATCTCACCACTTCTCACCACTTCTCACCACTTCTCACCACTTCTCACCACTTCTCACCACTTCTCACCACTTCTCACCACTTCTCACCACTTCTCACCACTTCTCACCACTTCTCACCACTTCACTTCTCACCACTTCTCACCACTTCTCACCACTTCTCACCACTTCTCACCACTTCTCACCACTTCTCACCACTTCTCACCTCTACAAGGATGGGCTTCCATCTCCACCACTCTCTCCCTCGCCTCCTTCACCACCCTTAACACTGCAAGCACGTTACTGGTGCCTGCCGGTCAATACCACCACACTTCACCGCAACTCACTGGGCTTCACTGCAGTGAACCGCATCTCACCACTTTTCACCGCATCTCACAACTTTTCACCGCATCTCACCACTTTTCACCGCATCTCACAACTTTTCACCGCATCTCACCACTTTTCACCGCATCTCACAACTTTTCACCGCATCTCACCTCTACAAGGATGGGTTTCCCAGTCTCCACCACTCTCTCCCTCGCCTCCTTCACCACTCGCAGCACCGCCAGCACATCGTTGCCATCCACCCGCACACTAGAGACGCCGTACGCCGCCCCTCGTCCTGCTATGCCGTCACCTGGGAATTTGGGGAAGGCCGGGGGGAGGGGAGGAGGGTATTAATTTGTGGAGAGGTCAAGAAGGGGAGGGGATGTAAGGAAGAAAGGGAGAGATGGGGGGGAGACAGCATAAAGCATCATATCCGTTGCCGTGCCTGGTGCTGGTGTGGTCGATTGTTTGCTATGTTGACTAGTAAGGCTGACTTTGAAAAACCACAAAAAGAGGAAGCATACAGTTAGGAGCAACAAGTGTAAGGCTGATTTGAGCATGATGGCTACTAACAGAATTAAATGATTCACAGAATCGACGTGGTTACTGTACCTCTGTACTGTTCCTTGGCCGGAGTGCTTATAGCCCATCCGTTGTTGCGGCATATAAAGAGTACAGGGGCCTCCAAGACAGCAGCGAAGTTGAGAGCAGCGTGGAAGTCACCCTGAAACAAGAAGACAGCAGCATATGTGACAATCAATTGCCTAGCTAAGAAACGCAATCACAAGCACAAGCACAAGCCAAAACATTAAAAGAAAAAAAAATGGAGACATTATTCTGAAGAAGCAGGCATCATCTCTTTCCACCCTCTCGCGTCCCCTCTTCGCTCACCAGCAACGCTCTCCTCAAATCAAGCCACAGAGCAACAGGCCTCATCTGCCACAGTCACCTACCCTCATGCCTCCACCCTCATACCCACCTCTCCTCTTAACGATCCATCTCCCCCCCACTCCCCCCCTTCCCCCCTTCCCCCCTTCCCCTCCTTCCGCCCTACCCCCTCACCTCACTGGCGGCGCCCTCCCCAAAGTAAGCCACGGAGCAGCATCCCTCACCGGCCATCTTCAAGCCATAGGCTGCTCCCACTGCATGGGGAATCTGCGTGCTGGTGGACCGTGGAATGAGGAAGATAAGAGGAGAAGGGGGAGTGGAGGGAGTGAACTGCGTGCCCTCAAGTGCTTAAGCCTGCCACGGAGATTTTTGAGTCGACTCAAAATCACATAAGGGGAGAAGGGGTGATAGGAGTCTAGTTTTGAGGCGCCTCAAAATTAGACTCCTATCATAAGAGGAGAAGGGGGAGTGGAGGGAGTGAACTTAGTGCCCTCAAGTGCTAAAGCCCGCCATGGAGCACCACCACTCGCCGGCCATTTTGAGGACATCAGCCGGCCACCCCCACCGCATGGGGATCTGCGAGCCGGCGGGACAGGGAGAGAGTTGAGCACGGGAGATGGGCATATCAGGGCACTCTCAGTAGCACCACCCCTCCCAGGCCATTTTTAGGCCATCGACCGGCCCCACCGCATGGGGGATCTGCGAGCTGGCGGGACAGGGTTTGAGAAGGGGGAGGAGCAAAGTGGAGGAAGTACTACAAGATAGAGCAGAGGAATCCCATGCGGGTGAAGGGAGTCAACCACACCCATACGCTTAAGGTAGGCAAGACCCCCCCCCCCATACGCCACGATTAAGAAAGGTAGCAGCAGGAAACCACTCACGCTAGAGGCAAGGAGATCGTGTGGAATCGGAGTTCTGCAGACCTGCAGTGCACCGGCATGGCATCTGCCTCCCCTTGCCAGAAATCAAGTGCTCTCTCCCCTAACGCATGAAGTTACCCGCTAGAGTAACCACTCACGCTAGCGCCGAGAGATGGTGTGAAACCGCAGCTCCGCAGACCCATAGTGCATGGGCATCTGACTCCCCTTGCCAGAAGTCAAGTGGTCTCTCCCTTACCACATGATATTACCCGCTAGAGTAACCACTCACGCTAAGGGCGAGGAGATGGTGTGGAAACTGAGCGCTGCAGACCCGTAGTGCACAGGCATCTGCGCCCCTTGCTTCTGTTCAAACAAGTCCTCCCTTGGCAGGTGAATGAGCCCTCCAGAGAACAACTCACGCTAGCGGCGAGGAGATAGTGTGAAACCGCAGCTCTGCTGACCCAAACTGCACCGGCAACTGGCGGCCCTTGCCTGCGTCCAGGTGGTCGATTCCTGACATCATGACACAAAACACCTCGCTGTAGAGGGGAGGAGATGATGACTCACGCTAGCGGCGAGGAGATGGTGTGAAACAGCAGCTCTGCTGACCCGTAGTGAACTGGCATCTGGCGGCCCTTGCCTGCGTCCAGCTGGTTGCCCATGCACTGGTTGGCGAAGTCCGGGAGGGAGAAACCGCGCCAGAGCAGCACCCCTGGCTCGCGGTACTGATGGGGTATTGGAGGCGGGGGGGAGGGGGAGGAGAAGGAGGCGGGCAGTGAGGCACCCTTGCCTGCGTCCAGCTGGTTTCCCACGCACTGGTTGGCGAAGTCTGGAAGGGAGAATCCGCGCCACAGCAACACTCCATGCGCGCGGTATTGATGGGAAAAAGCAGAGAGGGGGTGGAGGGAGAACAGGGAAAGGCCTTTTGAGGCGCCTCAAAAGTGGAGGGAGAACAGGGAACAGAGAACAGAGAACAGAGAACAGAGAACAGAGAACAGAGAACAGAGAACAGAGAACAGAGAACAGAGAACAGAGAACAGAGAACAGAGAACAGAGAACAGGGAACAGGGAACAGGGAACAGGGAACAGAGAACAGGGAACAGGGAACAGGGAACAGAGAACAGAGAACAGAGAACAGAGAACAGAGAACAGGGAACAGGGAACAGAGAACAGAGAACAGAGAACAGAGAACGAGAACAGGGAACAGAGAACAGGGAACAGAGAACAGAGAACAGAGAACAGAGAACAGAGAACAGAGAACAGAGAACAGGGAACAGGGAACAGGGAACAGAGAACAGAGAACAGAGAACAGAGAACAGAGAACAGAGAACAGAGAACAGAGAACAGAGAACAGGGAACAGGGAACAGGGAACAGGGAACAGAGAACAGAGAACAGAGAACAGAGAACAGAGAACAGGGAACAGGGAACAGAGAACAGAGAACAGAGAACAGAGAACAGGGAACAGGGAACAGGGAACAGGGAACAGGGAACAGGGAACAGGGAACAGAGAACAGAGAACAGAGAACAGAGAACAGAGAACAGAGAACAGAGAACAGAGAACAGAGAACAGGGAACAGGGAACAGAGAACAGAGAACAGAGAACAGAGAACAGGGAACAGAGAACAGAGAACAGAGAACAGAGAACAGAGAACAGAGAACAGAGAACAGAGAACAGAGAACAGAGAACAGAGAACAGAGAACAGGGAACAGAGAACAGGGAAGTGGGCGGAAAGGGGGGGGAAAGGGGGGTAATGTTGCACGAGGGGGGGAAGGGGGGGGGGAGGCGGGGTAGTGTGGCACGAGCCGTAGCGTGCGTCCTTCCCTGCTGTGGTTGTGTAGAAGGAGAACCGGCCCTGACTCTAAGGCCCTCAAATGCAAGGTGTGTACCTGTGCAAACACGTGGTCGTGTGGGTGAATAGCGGCAGCCGACGCTATGTTGACGGCCTCCTTCCCCGCCGTCGTCATGTAGAAGAAGAACCGGCCCTGTCTTTAGGCGCCTCCTTTTCAGTGCAAAGTACATGCGAAGGAAGGAAAGGCGTGGATACACACCTGGGCGAAGACGTGGTCGTGCGGGTGGATGGCAGCAGGCGGCGCTATGTTGACGGCCTCCTCCCCCGCCGTGGTCGTGTAGAAGGAGAACCCGCCCTGCCTTCAGGTGCCTCCCTTTCAGTGCAAACACCTGGTACCTGTCAACGAGGTGACTTTTGAGTCGATTCAAAAAACAAACACCTGGTACTTGTCAACGTACCTGGGAAGGAAGGAAAGGCGTGGAAACTCACCTGTGCGAACACGTGGTCGTGGGCGTGGATGGCAGCCGCAGACGCTATGTTGACGGCCTCCTCCCCCGCTGTCGTCATGTAGAAGGAGAAGCGGCCCTGCCGCTGCGCCTCGTAGAACACCGAGTCCATGGCTTGGAGCTCCACCATGGCCTGGTACATGCGCTGCGCTTCGGACTGGGTGAGCTGGAGGAGAGGAGAAGATAAGAGGGAAAGAGAAGGGTAGAAAGGAGAGAAGGAAAGGAGAGAAGGAAAGGAGAGAAGGAAAGGAGAGCACTTGACACCGAGTCCATTGCTTGGAGCTCCACCATGGCTTGGTACATGTGCGCTGCCTCTGGTTGCGAGAGCTGGGAGCAGGGAGGGGGCAGCGGGGGAGGCACTCAACACCGAGTCCATCGCCTGCAGCTCCACCATGGCTTGGAGCTCCACCATGGCTTGGTACATGCGTGCTGCCTCGGACTGGGAGAGCTGGGGAGCAGTGAGAAGGGACGGAGTGGGATCTCGCTTCCCTGCCGCTGTGCCTCGTAGAACACCGAGTCCATGCCTTGGAGCTCCACCATGGCCTGGTACATGCGCTGTGCCTCGGACTGGGTGAGCTGGGAGACGGGAAGGGGGAGAGAGAGGGATTGATGATCCTGCCGCTGTGCCTCGTAGAACACCGAGTCCATCGCCTGCAGCTCCACCATGGCTTGGTACACGCGCGCTGCCTCGGACTGGGAGAGCTGGGAGTTGGGGGGGAGAGGGGGGGGGAAGAGGGAAAGCGAGCGGGATTAACTGCACTGCCGCTGTGCCTCAGAGAACAGCGAGTCGTTGGCTTGGTACATGCGCGCTGCTTCGGACTGGGAGAGCTGGAGGAGAGGAGGAGAGGAGGAGAGAAGGGTGAGAGGGAGGGGGAGGGGAGAGCACCAAAAAAAGAATCCAGTGCCTGCAGCTCCGCCATGGCTGGTTGGTACATGTGCTCCGCGTCTGACTGGGAGAGCTGAGGTGCGTCGTTTGTGGTTAGTCTAAAGGGGTGGCTGTTCCTATCTCCCTTTACTTCCCACTCACTCCCTTACTCACTCCCTCACTCACTCGCTTCTGGTTCCCCTGCCCCTGCTATTACCCCCTCCCTCGTGGTCCAGCACTCGGAAGCACGGCACAGGCGACTCTGGCAGCTCAGGCACGAAGTGGAGCTCCGAGGTGAATGCCATGAGCGCTGTCCCTATCTTCCCCTCACTCACACCCTCACTCACTCTCTCACTCGCTCCCTCACTCACTCACCTCTGGCTCTTCCGCTCCTTCCAGCAGCCCTCCCTCGTGTTCCAGCACTCGGAAGCACGGCACAGGCGACTCTGGCGTCTTTTCTTCATCACCCACCACTCTTTCTGCTGTTTCTCCTGATTATACCCCCTCCTCCCAACACTCACCTCTGGTTCTTCTGCTCCTTCCAGCAGCCCCCCCTCGTGGTCCAGCACTCGGAAGCACGGCACAGGCGACTCTGGCAGCTCAGGCACGAAGTGGAGCTCCGAGGTGAATGCCATTCGCGCTCCTGGGAACTCGTGGCTTACTTCCACTGCCACTGCCGCTGCCGCTGCTGGTGCTGGTGCTGGTGCTAATGATGATGACGAGGAGGAGGTGGAAGCTGACGTGAAGGCTGACGTGGAGGGTGTCGTGGAGGCTGGCGTAGCAGCTGACGACAGTTTGGGCTCCTGTGGAGAAGTGAGACATTGGCAGGTAGGGGGTGTATAAGGCGAATCTTATGTCGACCCCTTAAGAAAGTAGGTTCTGGAAATTTGAAGCAGGTATTAAGAATAACTCCTGAAGAAACGACAATTTCTTGACGAACCAAAAAAATGCGGAAAGTGCAAACAGGGGAAAGGAGAACAGACGGAGAAGACAGCTGAGCCACCTGCTGCTGACGTGGCGAGCTCATGAAGCTTCGCACGATGCTTCTCCAGTGTCCGATTTCAGCAGTAGTCTGACCGGATGCGCCTACAGTAACTGGCGGAGTTAAACCAGCTGCTTGTCGCAGCGTTCGTTCAATTTCGCGAAAGCATCGCCGTGCGACAGCAATAGCGCACGCACGACTCGCCATGACGTGCCACGTGGATTCACAGGCGACTTTGCTGAGTCGTCTCGAAAGGACTCGTCTCGATAGAAGGCGTCTCGAAAAGAGTCGTTTATAAAGGAGCCGTTAACGGAACGGAAACAAGGAATATGAGACACCGGGGGAAGACTAGCGGTGCGTGCCCCAGTTAGCAGCAGAAGCACAGCCTGGCGAATTCTCTTGCTGTTTTCAGGGTGACAGGAGGTCTGTCACGTCTCCCACAATCTGAAGCAGGAGCGTCTGCCTCAGCTGCTGCTGCTACTGCTGCTCCTTCTACCACATCCAGTGCTATTATCAGGTCCAGCTCCTCCTGCTGCTGCTACTGATGAAATCAATGGCTTCCGCTGCTTCTCACACTTACTGGCATCTCAGCCTCAGGGCGGGGGCGTCCCGCGTGAATTGTGAGGTACAGTATCCCACAAGTCCGTAATCACTTCCTTCAGTGTGTTCACGCTGTCCACCGCTTTGGAACGCCACGCATCGAGCTATACCGAACGAAGTGATCTGGAAAATCAATCTCGGGACACTCTCAACGCCCCTCGGGAATCCAGAACCGTTTGTCCTGCGTGTGACGTGGATTTCTGGAGGTTGGAGTTGGTGATGCGTCAGAGAGAGCCCAGGCCAACACTCAGCAGCAGCAAGTCAGCAGTTCCAACTCCCTGCTGCCTCAGCAACTCATGTCTCACGGTCAGTGATTTGTCGCGAAAGATGCAGTCGCCGATGTGGTGTTACAGCTATGAGAGCATAGACATAAAATACTACAAAAATATCTCAGCTCACTAACTTACAATGGGTAACAAACATTAGGTACTAAAAATGCGTCTTGGCAAACGCATTTCTTGGCTCGTGCTCCAGAAATTGAACATCCATGGCATAATTTCTTCAAACACCAGCTTAGTTGTTGGCATCTTGCATGCGCACAAGCCTCTGGCCGATGACATCTGTCGGAACTTCGTCGGCTTCGTCCAATGGCATGTACTGCGCCATGATTGCCCGGATCTCAGAATCAACATGTGTCTGCTCATACAACACAAACACGCGTCAGAAATGAAGGGGTCAAGTGCGAAAAAAAAAAAAAAAAAAACACAAGAAATGGATTTTGTCGCAGAGGCAGGAAGCAAAAGACATGGAAGGACAAGGTGCTACGCATGCAACTGGGTAACGCATAGGTGATAAGGCTGCAGAAGGGCCTAATGTCTGCTCGCATGCACAGGAAGAATATTGGAAGTGGCATTCTTACACGAAGGTGATACTGGTACAGTAGATATCCAAGCCCTGCAAAAACGACGACGAAGGCGAGCACAATGCCCACTACTCCGCCCCAGAGGGTGCGAGGAGGAGCCGAGCTCTCAGATACCCTGGCTGATGGGTGTGAGAGAGTTGAAACATTGGGGGAAAAAACAAGAGCAGCAATGAAGAGCAGCACGATGCCTATAAATTCCAACACAGAGGGAGGTGGGGGAGAGGCCGTATGCAGAAAGAGGCCAGCAGGTGAGGCAGTTCCAGGTGGCGAGGAGGAGACTGCTGGGGGATGGCGTGGAGGCAGAGGAGGATGGGGATGAAGAAGAAGATGATGATGATGATGTGGATGGTGAGGGAGGGGAGGAGGAGGAGGAGGAAGAGGAAGAGGTGGAGGAAGAAGAGGAGGAGGATGATGAGGATGAGGGCAGTGGCAGCAGGCGCTTGGGATCATCCCACCTGCCCCGAGACGACGGCACTGATGCACTCATGCAGTCATCAGCATCATCATCAGCATGCAAAAGCAACGAACGACAACGAGCAACACAATGGCGGCTACTCTACCCTGAAATGGGGGGTGAAAGTGGGAGGCGAGAGGGGTGATAAGGTGACTTTTGAGTCGACTCAAAAGTCACCTCGATCAAGAGCAACACACTGGTGGCTCCTCCGCCCTGAAATGGGGCGTACCAGTGAGAGGTGAGAGGGGATGTGTGCGGACGGATGAGGGGACAGCCAGCCAACACCCGCTGTACCCCTTATCAGCTGCCAGCTGCCACTTTACTCACTGATGCACGCCTCGATTTGGTTGGTATACACCGTGGTTTCACCCACGCACGAGCACTCGTAGTACCACCCTGCCTGTACCCCTTATAAGCGGCCCCCACTCACTGATGCACGCCTCCAGCTGGTCAGTACACACCATATTTTCGCCCGCACAGGAGCACTTGTACCACCCTAAGGTGTTGCTCACGCCACCCTGTCTGTACCCCTTATTAGCTGCCTCCCTGCACTCTTCACTCACTGATGCACGCCTCGAGTTGGTCGATATACACCATATTTTCGCCCACGCACGAGCACTCGTACGACCCAAAGGTGTTGCGGCACTTGCACTCGGGGCACTTGCAGGCCGGGTGGGAGGGGGCACACTCGTCGATGTCGTTGCAGTGGTGGCCGTTGCCAATGAAACCAGGAGGACACACACACGAAGTACCAGAAGAAATGCTGCTGTCCTGCTTGGGGTGAGGGACGAGGAAAGGGGGGAGGCAGGAAGGGGAACGGACATTGCAGGCAGGGTGGGTGGGCGCACACTTGTCAAAGTAATGCCTGTTGCCAGTGAATGCCTGCTGCCAGTGAATGCCTGCTGCCAGTGTTTGCCTGTTGCGGGTGAAACCCGGGGGACACGTGAAGCAAGAAACAGAGCTGTCTTTCTTGGGGGGTGAGCGGTGCGGGGGGGAGAGGGCGTGGCCGGGGGGTTCAACTCGCAAGATCGAAGCTTCGGAAAGAAGAGAGCCGAGAAGAAAGAGAGAGACGGCAGGGAGAAACTCAGAAGGCGGAAAGGAGAAGGTAACTGGACCGCTGCTAAAACTGCTTCTCGTTCACATGAAACGACTTTTGAGGCGCCTCAATAGTAACTGGACAGCTGCTACGACTGCTGCTTGTTCTCTGAGTACGCACCGCAAATTTTCTTTAGAGCCGACTGGAAAGGCACCACAGCGGCCCAGCAACTCACATGGCAAGCGGTGTATGCCTTCCCCTCGTGCTGGGACTGCCAGCAGCCCCCACTGCCATTTTTTAGGCGCCTAAAAAATTATCACAGGCACTCACATGGCAAGCGGTGTATGTCTTCCCCTCGTGCTGGGACTGCCAGCAGCCGCCGTTGCCCACCAGGCACCGGCCCACACCAGCCGCTGCACATGGCATCAGGACATATAGTGGGCGCATATGGTGGGAAAGAAGAGGAAGACGAATCCGAACGGACAACGAGAGCAGAGGGGGAGTAGATGGTGGAAAGGAGACAGACGAAGGCGGCTCACAGTCGATGCTGGACTAGAGTGAGATGGCACTTACGCTCGCACTTGATTGTGCAGGGTGTTTTTCAGAATTTCCAAAAACACCCTGCACAACAACAGACGGAGACGGCTCACAGTCGAAGCTGGACTAGAGTGAGAAGGCACTTACGCTTGCGCTTGGTGTAGCCATCCCCTGTGACATACACGTCCAGGGATAGTGCACAACCATGCATGTATGCCGAGCAAAGCACTTACGCTCGCACTTGGTGTAGCCATCCCCCGTCAGATACACGCCTGTGGCAGGGTCCTTGGGGCACTCGCACACACGGCCTCTGAACGTGTCCTGCAAGGGTGGGGAGGGCAGGATAAGCCATGGGGCATTAGAACAGGGGGCGTGAGGCAGGGCGACTCTTGAGTTTACTCCCACGCCCGTGGCAGGGTCCTTGGGGCACTCGCACACCCGGCCTCTGAACGTATCCTGTGAGGAAGGAAGTCCACGGGGGGCAGGGAGCATCAATGGAACATGAATGGGAAATATAACTTATAGGCGACCCTTGAGTTGCCTCCTACGGCTGTAGCAGGGCCCTTGGAGCGGCTTGCTGCGGATCGAATCCAACTCCTTCTCAGCACACCCTGCCTCTGAGCGTATCCTGCGATGGAGAGGGCAGCGACAAGCCGTGGGGCATTAGAATATGATGGCCCACGGCTTGTCGCTGTGGTTCTTGAGTATACCTCCACGCCTGTCCCAGGGTCTTTGGGGTCCCTGTGCCTCAAGCTGACTTTTGAGTTGATTCAAAAGTCGCAGGATCTTTGGGGTCCCTGTGCCTCAAGAGTCTATTTTTGAGGCACCTCAGAAATTGGGGTCCCTGTGCCTCAAGGGATCGGGATAGTGGGGGCATGTGGCGTAGGTGCCCTTGCGTTGACCACGTGACTCCTGAGTTGCATCTCTCACCCCCCCCCCCCTCCTCCCCTGGCAGTCCAAACAGTCGGGCTGCGATCCTGACTGTTGTTTGTGACCCTGTTGGTCTTTGGAACGGTCCAAACGAATCATCATGCGGGAGAGGTGTACCAACAACACGTTCTGACCCTGCGAACAAAAAGAAACAAGGCTTGAGTGTGACTACAGAAAGAATGTGATTCAACCGTAACTTACACGGCACGCAGTGAGGTTGTGCCCCTGCCAGCAGCCGCCATTGTTGCTCAGGCACTCGTTGGTCTGCACCTCTGGCGAGACGAGTCAGGAGAGACGGGGGGGGGACAAGGGAAACGGCACAGACTGTGTGAAACAGCAAGCAGAGCGCTGCAACGGCAGTGAGCAAAGAGAGTGCTGTGAGGTTTTGCCCCTGCCAGCATGCCCCGTTGCTGCTCAGAGAACTCGTTGGTCTGCACCTCTGATGATGTGCGGGGGAAGGGGAGGGGGGGGGGGGGGGGGGGGGGGGGGGGGGGGTTGGGGAGAAAAGGCAAGCCAGAAGGCAACGAGGTAAAAAATTGGCTGCTGATGGCAACTCTAATCCCTGATTGGCTGCTAATTGGTTGCTGATTGGCCACTCTTAAAGCTTCTTACGAGTTTCTGCACACAATATTTCGGTGAGCCCCAATGAACTTTGCAAGAGCTAAGTACACTAATGTAAGCGCGTACCCACTCCGTGAACGTACCAGCTCCAGAGCAGATGGCTTTGGGCACTGCCTTTACCTCCAGCTTGCTTGCTGCTCTCCTCCCATGAGCCAACACCCCTACTACGATGAGCATACCCATTCCATGCCACATAGGGCTCTGTGCACGTACCAGCGCCAAGGCAGATGGGCGGCTCTGTGGACTCCTCAAACCCCGCGCAAATGGCCTTGAGCACCGCCTTGGCCTCCAACTTGCCTGTGATCACCATGCATGCAAGCATGTGATTGCCATGCATGCAAGCAAGCATGTGATTGCCATGCATGCATGCAAGCATGTGATTGCCATGCATGCATGCAAGCATGTGATTGCCATGCATGCATGCAAGCATGTGATTGCCATGCATGTGATCACCATGCATGTGATCACCATGCATGCCATCACCATGCATGCATTAAATTTCCATGCATGACAAACCATGATGTCAATCCATGCCATCGCGCGCCATCACATTGCCGTGACATGCAATCACACAC